AGACTGTCCTGTCTCCCCTTGGACTGATTTTTTAAAAGTTGTTCAACACTTTTCTCTTGTTTTAGACATGTAATAGCTGTTTATGTTGCTCCACTAAAGCAAGCAGAATCCCTGAATTTTGAGCCCCTGTGTACCAACCTCTCCCTTCCAAGGTACCCTGTTGCTGGGATGGAGACCATACTCAGCAAATTATTTTCTGTTTTAAGCCCAGAGTTGCTGTAACCACAAACCACTGGTTTGGTTCATCCATTCAATCATTTGTTCATTTATGCATTCATTTACCCACCCAATGATTTCTCCCCTGGTTCTAGGTATAAAGAGATGACTAAGGCAGAAATAACATAGGGATGCAAAAGGTGGCTAAGCCTGCATCAGAGGTCTCTGATATTTCAAAGCTTTCTTTGTAGTTGTGCAGAGGGCGGCAGAATGGCACTGGCTAGACCTGAGTTCTGTTCATAGCTGGGCCACTTGCTTCCATGTGGTCCTTGGGTGAGTCACGCCACCTGCCTGCCCATGGTTCAGTTTATGTTCACCTTTAAATAAACACTTTTGTTTTAAGGTTCCACACACCTCTCAGCTCTGTTCTGAAGGTTATAAAATGATAGAGTCACTGGGACAGAGCTTCTGAACTGTAATACTATTTGAAAACTTGTGATGCACATGGTGGTATTCCAAAGGCTTCATGATAAGGAATCCCTTGCTTGAGACAGACTAGAGAACATGGGGCCCACAGGCACGGTTGACAGAAACCTACCATTTTAATACTGTCAAAGCTACGAGCTTAAAACTTCTTAAAAAGTGCCCCTATCTCTTCTTTTGGATGCTTCCAGAGCAACTGGGCCAGCAGGACGGCTCAGCAGGTAAAGGTTGCCACTTAGCTTGCTACTAAGCCTGATGAGTTTATTCTTTAGGATTTACGGGGAGAGGGCGCAGGGGGAGGAGAGAATCAGCTTCCTCAGATTGCACTCTGACTTCCATAGGCATCCAAGTAGCATCAGTGTTAGCCACAGTGAATAAATAAAGGCAAACTATTTTTTTTAGAAGAAGGGATCAGTTAGTAGCAGGGCACAGCAGCTGTGGCTCTCTCCTCTCACGTTGCCAGGGACAGCACAGGACTAAAGCACACTTGTGGGCTGGTGGCCCTCTCCAACACACTGGAGCTGGCTGGGGGGGGGCAAGAGGAAGCCGGAGTAGACGCTCCCACTAGCCAGGCAGCGCCTGTCCTTCCCTCCAGCCCCTCAAAACAGGGACATGTTTCTGGACGCAGATCATCTCACATTCCACTCTCTAGGTGGAGGTGAAGTTCCCTTAAGTGTAGGCGATTTGCCACCTACTTCATTCCCTTCTATTCTTCCCCATGGAAAGTAGGACTCCATGCATGAAATTCATCCAAGAAAGGAAAAACCAGAAAGCAGCAAGGACACGGGCAGGAGCAGGCCTCTCTCCTTGCAAACACAACACACCCGCCTCTGGCCTCCGGCTGCCAAAGCTCTGAGCAGAAACCATCACTTCTCAGCCAGTGAGCTTCAGCCCACTGCCCCCAGCCGAGCATGCTGCATGCGCTCAGCGAGGATCCCAGGAATAAATGAATAAATCCATGGGAGTTGTTTGGATTTCAATATAAATGGATCTTGGACCTGAGAATCTGCCAGATGGGCAGACAGGTCTGGTGATGTGTCTCCAAAGCTATAAAAATGTAGCCATGGCTGGGGCTGCACACTGGCATTTTAGAAGATGATTATATGCACAATTTAAGCACATGGCCATCCCTGCCCTCCAAGTGCCATTGCTTCAACGGCTGCATGGATATTGCCTTTCTCGATCCTTCCTCTTTTTTTTGAGTCAATTTTTTTCTCAGTCCCTCACATTTCTAACTGTGATTTATTCATACAAAATTATGCTCCATTTTTATAAAACCCAAGTTGCTGCAAATGATGCCCGAGGTTCCACAGAAAATATTAATTCCCGATCTGCGGCTATAAAGCATGCCTGCTCTCCCTGCAGAGGCTCTGTTGCCCCGAGACAGATGGAAGCAGTCTCAGGGTATGATTAACTTCTTAGTCCTGGCAATTTCCTCATGCTCCTCTGGCCGTAGACTTCCAGATTGACCCCCAGCTTCTCTGCAAATGAACAGTCGGCCCGGGCTGATAAATCACACGGATCTCTCCTCTGATCAGAGATGTCTGCTATTTACTACTTACAGAGAGAAGTTAATCACATTCAAGGCTCTTCATATGCTGCACGCAACCCTTCCTTCTAACAGCCCTCTGCATATTCTCCACGTTACTGATAATGTGGGAGCTTCCGCAGTGCAGTCTGCACCGCTAGGAAGGAACCAAGTGTCCATTTATCCCTCTTCCCTTCACCTGTCCCCATATCCAACAAGTGCCGCCACCCACAAGAAGAAAAAGCACTTGAGTTTGTAAGGCTAGAGTGCCTGTGCAAACTAATATCTAACAATTGCCTTATTTATCTCAAGAGTCGTGCCACCTCTTCCTGCCCTGGTTGCATGTCGTTTCCATCATCTGCGGGCACCGGTAGGCCTCATATTTCTCAAAATACAAAACAAAAACCTACAGTCAGGTGTGGAAAAGAACAAAACCCGCACCAGCCCACCTTCCTACAGCAGATCCTGTTTCTCAGGGTGAGGGGGGCTGCAGTTCAGCCTCTCTCACTACCTGGTGTACTCGTCTACGACCATTTGGGCTGAACTACAAACAAAGCCAATGGCTAGGGTCAATATCTGATGTGGCTTTTTAAAGTCAGGCAGCGGATATATTTTATCTTCAGTTGATTATGAGACTTCCCAAACTTCAGAGCTCCTGGCCTGGATATCAAGCTCCAGATCGCCAGGGCACAGTAGACTGACTACAGATAATGATGAAGGACTGCGTGCCTTTGAAGAAGTTAGGAGAGGCCTAGTGAGATGGCTCAGTGGGTAAATGTGCCTGTCACGAAGCCTGATGGCCTGAGTTTGATCCCTGAGACCCAGGACTTAGGAAAGGACTGATTCTTACAAGTTGCCTCCTGATCTCCACACACAAGCATGCATGCATATGTATGTACACACAAAAAATATTTTAAAAAGCTACTAAAGGGTTTGGAATGTTCTCAATGAAGAAATGTCTGAAAAGATAAGTGCCTTAAATTCTTAGACATTTATTTATTTTACTTTTATGTGTATGAATGTCTTGCCTGCATGCATGTATGTGCCTCTCAAGTGGCCCAGCCTTGAATTACCACATACAGAAATCTAGAAATATGGAGACGGTAGCTTCCCCCAATTGCATTACCGGAGTAGTGTGTTAACCCAAGCCATCAACTGGAAGAGCCTAGCTCCTCTAATTTTGAGTAAAAAACTTCTGGATTGAATACTACCCTGGGGAATAGTGGAAAAGCAACAATGGGAACCCCTGCATCTGGGCAGGGCACCAGCTTGACAGTGTTTTTTAGCGAGAAAATAAGAAAGAGGTCAAAGGGCTCCTCATTAAGATCTATCCACGCTGGCTTCCTAGGGCTAAGTCATTTGAGAAGAGACCTTTGAATGTGTCAACTAGTTTCTGATGTACCCTGTACAATTTTAAAGGGAATGCCCATTTTCTTAAAAGACTGGTTCATTCTGATAAAGGTTGTCATGATGCTTCTCACTGTATATATACATTTATCAAATATATATTTTTACATTAGGAACTTCATCCATCTAAAAGGGTGTATATATCAGTGGTTTGTAGGACATCAACAGAGTGCTAGAAACATTGATGTAATAATCACAAGGTTTTCATTGTCCCCCAACAAAAGGAAATAGCGTATGTATTAGTAAAGGCCGTATTATGAATCTAGGTTTCCCTTGCTTTTCAAAACATTTGATTGAAAGTCTCTTACTTCCAAAGAGAAGACAAAAGAAGGAAAAAATGTATAGGAAGAGCTTGATTCTGTCACACAGTGAGTTTGGATGCTGGGTCTCTCTGATCAAAAGTCCCAGAAGTAGCACATTTGTAGGCCTCCAAACCTCCTAGTGGCAGCTGCTCTCAGAGCATGCATACTTGGGTAGCTGTCACTGGGGAAAGGCTCTTCAGCCGAAATAAACAGACTCAGGTTCAGGCCACCTGAGAGGACATGCTTTTCACCCATGTGCTCCAGGTAATTCGCCTTAGCAAGGAGCTGTACCTGGGAGGAGTGATGGACCCATCTGGTTTAGTCATTAATCAATCATCCTGAAAGAAAGAAATCACAAGGAAGGAGGGGCAAAGGCTGCCTAGACAACACTGAGGTGTGTGCCAATCAACTGAGAGGCGTCACCCACTGTGTCCGGGCACTGTCAGTTTCTCAGGGATGATGTGGAGAGATGCAGGGACTGTACCTCCACCTCCTGACAGACCACACACACACACACACACACACACACACACACACACACACACACACACACACACGTGCGCGTTTGTTATAGAAAGTGATTCTGCATTTCTCCATTTGGTACTCTGCAACCTTTCTGAAAGAGCAGGGTGCAAATACCAGTTCAGTAATACAAGCCAAGACATAAGAAGTCAGGCGGGAGACCGGGAGTGGCTGTCTTATAGGCACACAGCTCAAGAGAAAATCTTATCAACAGACAGAGTCCTCTGGGTGAAAAGATATGGAAAAAGTGAAGAAAACACCTCAAAATAAATGAAGTACTTATTGTTGAAAAATGAGCTTGGCTCTCAACCAATTCCAAAGTTCGGAATTTACTGCACCACTCAGGCCTTCCCGCCTAAGTTTCTTGTCTCTTGTTTCATGGCACAACAAGGGATTCTTCATACTTTATGTGAAATACAACGAGGCGATTTTTACAGTAATAAACTCCATGCACGCATGACAAATCCAAGCACGGAGAATGTTTAACATCCCAGATCACAGATTCTTTAGGGACAAAATCCGATTATGAATTATATGCCACAATAAATAGGGCTCAATGTTTCATAAAGCAATTTATAGTTCATAAAAATGACAAAATGTACCTGTCAGATAGGGCGCGGAGAGCTGTTCTCTGGGCTGCCTGCTGGAAGAAAGGACAGAGATGTTTATTTAATATTTTGACTTTTAAATTATGCGCTCAATCAACACTTTAAAAAATCTGTGCCACACACACATTTTTTTTTCTGGTCAAGTAACCAAAATTTAAACTGTTAGCAACGTAGTAGGATGCCCTGCTATGTCATGAGAGGCAGGTTCTTGGTCAAGGGGTGCTGCAGCAAGACACACTTGCCAACAGGGGGCATAAGTGAGGGAGTGCTGCTGAGAACTCTTCCCTGGCCACGAGGGGCGGCTCTCAACCTGAGCTATATTTTTCCCTACCACCTGAAATTATTTATCTACTGCTTTATCCTCATTTCCTGTAAGGAAAAAAAAAAGAAGAAAAGAAACTTCTTTACCAGTGAAGGTGTAAATCTGTGTTGGTGTGTGTCTGTGGGTTGTGTATCTGCTGATCTGCACATGTGATCATGGCTGGGCACACATATGGATGTGTGGGCAGTAGCTAGGAGCGGGCACTGGTGCCTTCCTCTAAGGCTCTGTGGCTTAGTCCCCTGAGTCTCAGGGAACCCAAAGCTCTCCATTTCAGGTAGGCTGGCTGGTCATCAAATTCCCGGGACCCATTTGTTTCTGCTCCCACACCAATGCTGATGTTCTAAGCATATGTGGCTATGCTGGAGGATTTTGTATTTTCTTATGGAAGTGTTAGAGGCCTGATTTCAGGTCCTCAAGATTGCACAGTATGTACTATTTTCCATGAAGCCATCTTGCTAGCCATTGAAGATATCATGCTTGACTTTTGTTTTAGGTTTATTAAAGGTCTCCATATTTGGAAACTGGGTGGCTGCCTGGGCAATATCACAATATTTTGAGATCATTGATATTTTTAGGCACAATAATAATGATGCTGTGACAACGGTTTTGTGTTTGGTTTTGTCTGAAGAGCTTTGTAGTGACCCAGAGAGATGGCTTCTTTGGTATCAAGATTGATATGCAAGCATAAGCGTTAGTGTTTAGATCTGCATCACCCTTGTGAAAACATGCACACGTGTGCATCTTAAGCCCAGCTCTTTGGAGGCAGAGGAGGTATCCCTATAGCTTACTCCTCAGGTAGTCTTGCTCGAATGATAAGTTCCAGGTTCAGTGAGACACCCTTGTCTCAAAAAGACAAAATACAAAAAAAAAAAACCCAAACACACACACACACACACACACACACAAAACAAAAAACCAAAACAAGGAAAAAAAAAAAAAGAAGTGGTCCATGATTGAACTGTAGCAAGCATGCTGACTATTCACTGGTGCTCTGTAATGAGTTTTATCTCAAATTAAGTCCCCCTGTTGGTGACACTCAGCCCTCTTCAAACTGACCCTCAAGCAGGATGGGCTGCATTTGACACCTCTCTGCTTAAACAGGCTCTGTGGCCACCTGTGGTAAATAAGACTTATCCTGGGCTTCCTACACACTCTCCCTGGGTTCTGACTTCAGGACAGCTTCTCTAACTCTGCAGCTCCTTTGAGCCCCTCTTTAGCGACTCTGTAATAGTGTATTCTCACATTAGTGTGAGGTATAATGTGTGAGCTGAGAGTCGATATTTGTAATTGAGACTGGGATAAAGGAACTTGAGATTGCCAATGGCTACCTACCAAGCAAAACTAGGAGCAAGCTGCAGCCAGTGAGACTGCTGTATTCTGCAAATTTCTGGTTACCCAGTAAGTTCCAACACTGAGGAACAACAATAAAAAATAACATGGAGGGTGACTGAGGAAGGTATCTGACGCTGATCTCTGGCCCTCACGCATGTGCATACGCTTACAAGAACCATGAGGGATGGGACTAAAGATCCAGTCTGAACGTGAAGTCAATTGACCCTTTTCTCCCGTGCCTCCAAAGATCTTCCTGCTGACCTCTAGGAAAGGGCACACCAAGTGTCTGTGAGTGGCTGGCTGGGAAATGACTTACAGAGCAAAGGAAGACAAAAAGCAAGAAATGGCTGTGTACCCACTGAGTGCCTGTGAATCAGTGGCACCTGCTAATGACCTTGAAGGACTCTATCCTCGGCTGGGTAGGAGGCCTGGGACAGGGGTGTCTTTCCTTTAGCAAGCCCATATGATGCTGGCTTAGACACCGGAACCTCACCACCCATTTATCAGTGTCTTTTGTCATTCTTTATTCTTCCAGTCTGTTAGTGTAATGAATGTTACCACACTGTCAACACCGTGGGACTCAGCACAATTGCTGGAAGTACTATTTACTTATTTATTTAATTTATTTTTTAATGCTTGAGTTTTGATTGCACTTTTCATTGTAATTACTCTTTGTTATGAAATACTTTACAGAGGACAGTCATCATCCATTAAGAAAGGCAATATGAATGTATCAAACATTTAAAGTCACTCATAGAAAAAACAAAGCTATGGTATTAAAGTAAAAGTCATACACTGAGGCAGGGAGCTATTATTAAGAGATTTTTGTGCTCACTCTCCTAAACAAAACAAAACCCTTCCGTTTTTTTTGCACACTGTCTTAATTTATAGCTGGAAAATAGTAAAAAGAAATAAACATTGGGATTAAACAGTCAAGAAAAAAATTACTTTGGTGACTCATGATTGAAACCTGAAAAACTAGTCATAAACTAGATGAATTGCCCAATTCCATTCCTTCAAGAGTTGTATCACAGTGACCACATTTTTCTTTCTTAATCTCTCATCAGCTTTCCCTGGTAGCTTTTCCTTTGATTCAGTCTCAGCAGAGTCACTTGAGAGGGTTAAGAGAATGCTTCACTGATCTTTCCTGAGTGCATTATTCATTCATGAATGACTCCGAAGCTCAAGTCTATAAGACAAAGCAAGTTTTCTGCCAGAAATAGTCATTTTCCAAGCTCCCCTCAAGAGATGACATCTTTTCTCTGTCTTTATTTTAACAAAGTTGGTGCCTGGAAACATAATCAGCAGATATTCTGGTTCCAATGTATGTTAAATGAATTACAAGCTACAATTTGTTAATGAAAAGAAATCAAAGAGGAAATTAAGTGCCCTCTTGTAATTGGGTCTAGCATAGGGCAAGTTCATGGACACTGGGGTGGGGGAGTGAAACCCAGGAAGGAAGAGGCTGGAGTTCAGAGGCCGCCCAGAGCCATCCAATTTCATGATGTAAATAGAATTTATGCCTGGATACATAAACACATTTAATTTGAACTACCTACTATGTGTAGGCACTGGACTTGGCATAGGTGACAGTAAAAACAGATTAAGGCCTTCATGGTATCTCTTTGAGTCTTGAGGTAGGGCAGACACAAAAGGTCCATAGGCACACAGGAGTTTGGATTACAATGCCTATGGCTGAGGAGGACAGCATGCTGTGAAATGGAACAGTGAAATGACAAATGGTTGCAGAAAGCTCAGTAAGTGTGGAATAGGCCTGGAGGAAAAAGGAGAACAGGAGACCAGAGACATGGTGGAGGGAAAAGGAGAGCAGGAGTGCAGAGACATGGGGGAGGGAAGGGGACAGCCATTAGTCTGCAGAAATGAGGGAGGGAGAGGAGCAAGGTCTAGATGCATCAGGCTTAGATCCTGGCTCAGATGAGAAACTGTACAAGGTCACTGTGCTACAGCTCAGCAGGGCAGTGGGACCACGGCAGAGCAAGATGAAGCCAATCTCAAGGGTTCAGAGGTCAAGTGTAGGCTTGTGGATGTATAGGACAACAGGAGGGTCACTAAAGAGTTTACATGGACAGAAGCTGGACAAAGCTTGCTTGTACATTCTGTCTAGCTTCCCATGAATCTATAAATAAAAAACGTAACAGAAGGACTGGGGATACAGAGTATATTTTCAAATGTCACACTGGATTCTGTTTGGTGTGGTGAATGAGTTTGGATAAGAAAAGGACTAAGCCGGGCGGTGGTGGCACACGCCTTTAATCCCAGCACTAGGGAGGCAGAGGCAGGCGGATCTTTGTGAGTTCGAGGCTGGGCTGGACCAATAGCCTCCAAAACAATACAGAGAAACCCTGTCTCGTAAAAACCAAAAAAAAAAAAAAAAAAGAAGAAAAAAGAAAAAAGAAAAGAAAAGGACTAAATGTGAAGTTATTACAATGATCAGGCAGGAGTATTTGAAAACACTGAAGACGATGGGAGTGTTGCTACACTTTGCAGTTCTAATACAGGGAACTGTTTCTGGTAGAATATGGCAGGTCAGGTCAGGAATGCCACTGGCATCAGATTTCATGCCCGAGCACCTGGTGTGGAGACCACTGGTGGAGATGTGGGACCAAGGGCGCAGGAATATGAGTAAAAGTGGAGTAAGTTTTGTGCTGTTAAGTTCAGCACCTGTTGGATGTTCATGGACAGATGGTGAGTGATAGCAGGAAATATCAGACAGAAGTTGTTAAACACAAACCAAACAAAGACACCAGTAACAGGCTTGGAGTGACAGCTCAGCCAGTGTAAGCATGAGGACCCAGAGCCGGAAGAGGAGGAGGAAAAGAGGAAGAAGCAAGAGGAGGAGGAAGAGGAGAAGGAGGAGGAGGAGACACAGTAGCATGCACTAATAATCCCAGCCTGGGGTGGGGGAGCCCTGGAGCTCACTATTCAACCAGCCTGTCCTAATTTGCAATTTTCAGGCATAGTGAGTAACTGTTTTTTTTTTTTAACAGATAAATAAAAATAAGGGTGAAGGAAACCTGAGGTGGACCTCCAGCCTCCTCTCACACATACATACACACATGAATATACATATGCACCTACCCACCCCTTTCTGCACAAGAGTCATAAAATTGACACACATGGCTCAAAGTTCTGCATCAAGACTTTGCTGCTGTTACTCCTCTTGGTGTTTTTCTCGGTGAGCATCAATACTGTTCACTTCTAGGTTCCTAGAAATGCAGTCTTAGGGGCCTTCTGGTTCAGTAGGCTTCCTCCTCACCCTACTTTGTACTGGGGTCAGGCAGAGCCAGTGAGGACAATAACTTAACCTCTGTGTAAAAACACTTGAGAGTGACAGGGGATGCTAACCAGATGGCAGTCGGG